AATTATTGATCTATACATTATACCTTTTATAGTTAATCTTTTAAATCTAGTATCCATTTTACACTTCCAACATATCTAAGTTTGGGCAATAAATTTCAAGGCGCTCTGGGAGTTTCCTGCTGAGATGCTAACCAAAAGGTTACAATTTCAATCTAACCAGCCATTCGGTTGTAGAACGATGTATTGTCTCTTCCTTTATAGGATTTACAACCTCAGAGACCCAGTAGACCAACATAGTGAGTCAGAATTTACTTAAAGGCTGTGTTTATGGTTGGTTTAAACTCACAACCTTTCAGTAAGAGCTACCTTGATGTACTACTGCGGTTCCTATTTAGTGGGATTTGTTTATTTGAAATATATTTTACTCTGCTTCATTTTTCAGTGTAAATAAATGAAAATGAGGAAGTTATGCATTTTCTCAGTCATACCAGCCATATTTCGAAGGCTTCACACCATATTTGACTAGTGGTTGCTTTTGTAGGTCGAGTAGTTTTAAGATCTTACTCTTCAAGGGAATTCATAGTCCCAGGGGCGATTTACCCAGTAATCTTGATAAGCACGAGTTTACTGATGATTTACTAATCCAGTAAAGAGTAGTTTCATATAGTGTATTGAAAAACAAGTGGAATTGTTCACTGTAGACTATCAAGCAAGCACAAGCAAACCTGTGTATACCCGATTTATTCTGTGTTTAGTCCCTTGTGAGGGATTGTACATTTGAAGAGGCTTTGATTCTCTAGGAAGATATTGTGGGGTTGGGAGAAAGATTCCCGCCAAATCTAGAAGCAGGATCTTTGATGTGGAAAAAAAAAAGTGAAACTTTTCGTGACAGATTAGTGAAATAACCACTAAGCATGGCTGTTTACCTTGTTGTTTATTGGGCAGGTAGGCAATCTGACACTGCAAAGTCTATATGAAGTTCATCTTGGTTTATATTCCCTGGGTTAAATATTGTTCTTTACATGTTTTAAAAATCAATACATAATTTTATATTTTAAAAATCAATACATAATTTTATAAGTTCCACAAGTTGCTTGACGTGTGTTCACTGAAAAGTATTCTAATTTGCTTTTGGCTATTAAGCATTTCTAGGAATTGGGTGAGGGTGTAGATTTTTTTAGAAAGAAGTCAAGGATACAGCTGGTGCAACCACTTTTGATCGCCACATCACGTCACTATTTTCTAATGGCAGGAGTTAACGTCTGGAAATTGAAGTTTCTTTGCAGGCATACCTCAGGATCTGCACTTCTCCGAGCACAGAACAACTTTTTCAACAGATTGAGCAGTATCCTTGGAACATGCATAGACAGGGATTTACCCAAAGCCCCTTCTATTTTCAGCCAAGAGCAACTGCCTGCCAGTCAAGGTTCCTGAAGAGTGCAACTCTCGTAGCAGAAAATAGAAACGTGGAGGACCAGATCTTTGCCAAGTATTGTTCGCAATCCTCTAAGGCTACTCTCACCGAAACTCTGTAGAGCAATTGTTTTGGGGGATTGCTTCAGCCCGCCGAGCAAGCCCGCACATGGGTCCCCAGGGTTGCCTTCGCCTCCTAGCGTGACCCTGGAGGGAGGGGGCGTGACCAAGCACCGGTGGGCGTGACCAGGCACCGGTGGGCGTGACCAGGCTGAGGAGCGGGGGCGGGGAGTGCCGGGAGGCGGAAGTTCCCGCAGGCCGCGGGGACGGCGTACGCACAGCGAGACACTTGTCAGTGCTCGTCCGAGGCGGAGGCAGCGTTGAGCCCTGCTGGAGGTGAGTGGCCGCAGCTGGGGATGTGCACTCTGATCCGCTGGAGGAGGAAGAGCAGTGGGTAGCTGTGAGGAGTTGGGGGCGCGCTTCTCATGGTGGTGGTGGGGGGTCCTCAGGTGCTTCCCCGGCAGAGGTGGGAGTACGGCATGGGGCATGGAACGCCCGCGAAGTCTCGGAGCCCGGCGGAGGCGAGCGCGGCAGAGCCCGGAGCGCGGGAGCCGAGCGCCGGTCCGCACCGTGAGGCGACGCGGGCAGGCGCGGAAGGGCTCCCGGGACACACTCGCGCCGCCGGTCGGGCCGGCTGTGGGGCGTCGCTCTGGGCATTCGGGTGCTCCATGTCTTGCGCGAACCCCAGGCAGGTACTTGGAGAGGAAGGAAGACTCAACGGGAAGGCGTACTCATTTGTTGTGTGTGTGTGTGTGTGTGTGTGTGTGTGTGTGTGTGTGTGTGTGTGTGTGTGTGTTTTAAATTTGTTCTCTGGCTCCTGAGAACTATTCATTTCCCCACAAATATTTACAGTTGTGTAACCTGTTTTGGGAATAGTTTTCGTGCATCCAGAAATAAAGATCATTTAACAGAAAAGTAAAATCTGTGGTCATGAATTGCAGACTTATTAGTCCTTGCGTACATGTTGGGGTTTGTGTGCGTTTGCGAAGTTTGACAATAAGTGGGAAAAGGAAGGGTGGTGTGGACGGGGCAGAGCTTGGAAAGAAAATTCGTGGCTGCGCCGGGCAGGGCAGGTCTAGGGTGTGATCACCAGATCCTATCCCAAGTCTGCCTTCCTGACTGTGAGGACGTCTGAACCCGCCTGCCACGGAAACAGCCCGCTCCGGAGCCTTATTTGGCAAACAGCGTTAGGCGTGAACCTTCTGCTGGAAAACCGTCTCATGGGCTGCTTTCATCTTTAGTTCCTCAGCTCTACCTTCATCATCAGAATCTGGGGAAGGACAATCTCAATCGACTTTTCTTTAGTTTCAGACTCTTGTCTGTTTCATTTAGGGTTCGCTTCTCTACCCTTCCCACCAATCATAGAAGTTAAGAAGGAAGTGTGGGAAATAACCAAGCTTTCTTCCCTAGTATAAGAGCAAAGAGCGTCGAGATTTTCCCTGAAAGAAAGCAGAAATTTCCAATATTTTCCACATTTGAAAGCAGTGTAAGCTGGCAGCTCAGTATTCCTGCCTGTTGGGTATTTTCAGAAGGGTTTGGGCACTAAAAACCAGATGATTTTCAAAGAGACTTGCAATAGGCCAATAATAATATTGCCCTTGCTTAGGAGTCTGAATCTGAATTTTTTAAGGCAAATGAATTCTAAATGAAGCTAGCAGAAGAATACTAAAGAAAAGGAAAGTCTGATTCTGTGGTTGGAGCTGAGAACTCCCTGTTGAGTAACAAATGGGAGAAATGAAGGGAGCCCCAAATAAAGGGAAGTTGTATGTGCAAGGGTGCTTATAGAAATGAATTACATGTTCTTTTAGGACCCTTGTGGGCAGAGGAAGTTGAACCCAACTTTTACATTTGTCCTCTCCTAGCAAATTAAAGATTGGAAGAGAGAGATGTCAGGTTGCCTGTGAAGTATCAGTTGGCTTTATATGCTTCTGATAATGTGTGCAAGTATTACAAGTTTACCTCCTAAATTCCTTTACTGCAGTGGGAGAACACATTCAATTGTATGGCTCCTTATTGCCTTCCTATCCTTCCTGTTAACTTTTGGCTTGGCCTTTGAGTCCTTTTAGTGCCCTGTGCCGGTTACTCTTAATAGTGTAGTAATGCTATTGCTTTGTAGTTCAGTGTACTACTTTGCCGGTGGAAAAACCACTCATTTCATTCCTACCTAGTTGCAGTTCAGATTTTCAGATTTTTAAGTTTTCTTTAAGAATCAGGCTTATTTTAAAGTTTCACCTCATTTTCCTTTTATGAGCAGGAATCTGTTTGCTTTTAATTATGTAGTGGTTTGATTATCTTCAACTGCCACTATGAATTTTGCGTGATAGAATAAGCATTTTGAATGGGTTGGAAAACATTTTAAGACAGATAATATAAAGTGATGATTTGGTTGGACTACCCAGATTTTTCAAGAACATCTTAAAGCCAGACTTTTTAAAAAAATGCTTTAAAATCGTGTGCATACTAATATATTTTTAATATTTTTCAAAGCAGGAACTATTGTATTTCTTAGTGTTTTAGAAATATTTATGTGTGTGTATTTAAAAAAAAATCTCATTCCTCCCAACTCTCCCACCTATGTAAAACCACATAACAACCAATACCAGTCACCAGTTCTTATTTTATTTCAGCTTTTTATTTTATGAAATTACTATTGTGAGAGTTACTATAAGAACACTTAGAGTAAAATACGGGCGGGGGGTGGGCTGCGAGATAAAACTAAAACCCTGAAACATTGATTCTTTTCTCAAATTTCAGTTAAGTTTCATGCATTAGGGTTAGCCATGCTTTCTTCTTAAATCTCATGTAATAAGTACTCTAATGAGGCATGCGTATAAAATAAACGTAGATTCTGATTGAAATATTACTGTGCTAGAGTATTTCCTATCATTGCCTATCTGAAGGAAAAGTATATACATAATATGTTATTGTAAGGGTAGAAAACAGCATATCACTATAAAAGCAAATGCAAAATACAGTTAAGGATTGATGAGATAAGTTATAGGCATTACAGAGTCTTTCAGTTTAAAGAATTTAAGATTTGGAATGGAAGCATACTGATTTGCAGTTCCTTTCATATGTTAGAGTAACTTAGAATTTAAGTAAGTGACATTGAAGTACTTTTGCCAACTGAAAGCATGAGGTGGAGAGAAGAGGAACTTCATTTTGAATTAAGCTTGGAATAAAATCTTGTTCTTTCCTCTATAAAGATACATAATGGAGTGTTGTAAAGTAGTCTGGCTTTAAGTTTGCATGCAGGAAGCCACAGATTGGATATACCAGGTTGTAAAATTGATACAAGTTTCTAGAAATATATTCCAGTGGTGAGTTTTTATACTGTTGAAACTGGCTTGTGTGTTGAAATTAAGTATTAGCTCATAGATTTCTTTTCTTAGACCAACATTAAGGAGAATTTAATACAGACTTTCATCTCCTATAGTCTCACTTGGCAAAAAGGAAAAAATAGAACATAATCTAGTTGGGTTTTTAGTAAGGGCATGTGTAATATGGTTTCAAATAAACACTTTAACCATCTCATTTTCTTTCAGTTTCTTTTACCTTCTGGGACTATACTTTGAGCCTTTAAAATCATGAGCAACTACAGTGTGTCCTTGGTTGGCCCAGCTCCTTGGGGTTTCCGGCTGCAAGGTGGCAAGGATTTCAACATGCCTCTGACTATCTCTAGTGTAAGTATACTTTACAGATTTTATTATAGAAGACCATCCAGTGGTCATGGAAACCTCATGGCTCAGTTTTCAAATTGTAGGACTTAACAAGTCTGTGTAACTAAACAGACTGTTTAGTTAACGAAACTAAGTCTAGTTATTTGTATTAATGATGGAGGGAGGAACATTAGCAATCTCAGTTTAGCTTATTTGTATCCCCCTATCATATTAGTAATGAATTGGAAAAACATTTAATAAGGGAACAGGCTCCACATCTCTGAACTGTCAATGATTTGGTGAAATTTCTAGATTTTAGTTCTTCATGTTAGAAGACTGCACAATAGCAATTTCGAGGTTCATTTCAGCTCCAGAAGTTTATAAAAAAGTGTTGATTGATATAGGAAAAACAAAAAGTTGTTTAGGATGCTATTTCCTGAATTTTCAGATACAGGTGATAGTGAACCATAAAGTGATAAAAAAGCTACTTAATTTTTAAGAGAATATTGAAAGGCTTAGACTTATAAGTAGATAGAACAATTGTGATTTGATGGTTTACCTCATACATACATTTCATTTTAATATAGTCTGTATATGTATATTTTAAGGGTAGATTTTTATGATGTAATGGTAGTGATGATGGGATTAATTAGAGTACATTTATTGATAATTGTTTAGGTGTCAGGCATTGTTTTACTCTCCTCTCTAGTAGATAATTATTGCCATTAATTGTATAACTTTAGAGATTTTCTAAATGAATATACAAATAAATAGGAATCTTTACCTTTCTCTTACTCAGTGTGAAAGGAGCAGAAAATGGGACAAGGAGGCACAGGGCTGGGAGCATCTTTCTGAAAGGGCCAGAGGGAATGAGAATAGCACTGTCCTTCACTGCCCCAGAGCAGAAAGCAGATAAAGAGCCATTAGTGCAGCTCCATGGTGCCTCTAGAGCCAGAGCAGTAACAAGAGGTTTGATTTATTTGTTGTTGGTTCACAGAGTTTACTCATAGTTGTGGTACCAAGAGTAGGATTTGTTACGGAAATATGTTGGGGAGTGGGAGAGGCAAAGACTATCTCACAATACAAGTCCAGGTTTAGTCCAGCAGTCCCAAGCAAAATTAATGGCAGAACACAATTCCTTAATTGTGTTTTGCAGTACAAGCTCTGGTTTTAGTTCAGCAACACAAATTTAAGAAGCCTCTGGTTTGCTCAATCATCCAGCAAGGTTTGCTTCAGAGTATTTAATTATAACTCAGCTTCTCCTTCAAGCATCTGGCAAGAACAGCAAAACTGTTAACTGTAGCCCCACAAATGCAAGAAGCCTCAGGTTACACCTTGCCACAGTTTGTCCAAAGCAATGCCACAGTCTCTCCACCACCATTATCAGGGTCTTACTTCAGTCTCCCTCCAGTCTTATTGACCTGTATGGGAAGTACTCTTTCTTGCTTATCCTAGTTCTACAGCTTGGATGATTTGGAAGACCATGGATCTGCAGTTAAGGTAGCAGGAGACCCGAGGGGACTAAAGTAATGGTGAAAAAAGCCATTTAGGTTAATACCATTCTCTGATGCACAATTTACCTTAGAGAATTTTCCCTATTGACATGTAAAGTGTTAAAAAAATTTTAAAGTATTTGTATATTATTTTGTTGCATGGAAGTAACATTTGTTTAACTAATCCGCTGTTGAAGGGTATTTATAATGTTTTCATTACTGCTACTACAATCAGTTCTGCAGTGGATATCAAATATACCCATGTTATTTTGATACTGTTGCTTTTATGTACTTGCCTCACAGTTGACTCAAAGCTGACCTTCCAACAGGTTTTCTGAGGCAATAAATTGCAAAGGAGGAGATTTGCCATCTTTCTCCTATAGAGTAGTTGGTGGAGTCAAACTACTAGTCTTTGGGTAGTCAGTACACTCCTTTGCTTAATTGGAAACCACCAAGTTATACCAATTTACATTCTTATGCAATGAATGATAATGCCTGTTAATCACTCAAGGCTCATCAACAAACTTTTCCATTTTTACCAAGTACTTTAATGTCAATTTAACTTGGACATCAACTAATAGTAGTATTCCATTATGCAATAGACATAGCTGATATGGAAGAGGTAACTTTCAAGCAGTTACTGTGGTAATCTGCCTAATCTTTATCTCACTTTATCTTAAATTTTGGTGGACCATTTCTGTAGTCAGATATTTAGAAGGTAATAATTTAGTTTAATGATGTAATGTATATGTTTGTTGCTTCTTATAATTTATATTATCCAACTTGATTTTTAAAGATTAAAAATAAGTTTGTAATACCTATAAAAATGCAAATTATTCATACAATGGAATATTACATAGCACTGAAAAACAGTGAACTCATAAAAAATTACACAGCATGGGTGACCCTACAGGACATTATGCTGAGTGAAATATCTCAGTCACAAAAGGACAAATACTGCATAGCACCACTGTTATAAAACAGCTCTGATGAGAGCTTGGGAGAGAATAGGATAAGAGTGGATAGAAAATGAACATTGCACTGGAATAGATGAAGGAAAGAACTGTTTAAAAGGAATATATGATTAGGCATTAAATGTATGACAGTAGCCCAGAATAAGAGGTACATTGCAACGAAGACTGGGGGGAAGGGAGAGCAGAGATGCAATAATGAATGAATATTTAAAAAAAAAACACAAAAAAGTGAACTGGGGAAGGGAAGTGGAAAGCGAAGGAGGAAGGGAGGGAGAGGGGGTAAAAATGTGCAACAATGAAC